GACGGATATTTTATTGAATTTTCTTTTCTTTAAATTTCAAACAAACCGAAAATTTTGATTCTATTGAAAAATAATTTTATATTAAATGCGTTTCGTTTACAATGATAATTTGGATTAGTTTATAAACGGAACTCTTAACACTGTGGAAGGAAATTCGAGGTTATATTTTACTCACCAAAGAGTAAAATGTAACCTACTTTAATTTAAAATTAAAAATGGGGCGAAATTAAAGCCATCTATCGAGAAACATACATATACATGATCGCTCCTCATACCTTACATACATATATTTTTTCTCATGCGTGTGTAGATTTTAACAAACTAGCTCATATTTCTATAAAAAAGTGCCAATTACTAAAACAAATTAAATATTCTAAATAAAAGTAGGTATAATACTTACATTTAAATTATAGCCGTGTCTCATACTTGATTAATATTAAAAAACAACTTACTTGATCGTGATATTTTTGCTATAGAAAGTTTAATTAAAATACCCTTGGAAAAAATTACAATATTTAAAAAAAAAATTAAATTCAAAAACATTTTAGTTTACGAAAAGAACTTGTAAATTTTCAGTTCCAAACTTTATAACAGTAAAATATGGTAACAATGTAATGAAAAATAATATAAAATATTGGCTGATATATTAGAGAATAAAATTAAATGTCATGAGAAGCTGTTTGTATATCATATTTACATACAAAATTATAATAACGTGAATTTTTTTACATTGATAAAATTCACATGGTTAAGCGGTTTTATATAATATAACATGTAATAAATAAGTATTATAACTTTACTACTAGTATAAAAAACAAAAATTTTTTTTTCTATTAATAAGCTTTTTTTTAAGTATATATACATACTAAATTGTTATGTGTTCCAATTTAAATCATAGAACACGTTTTATTTTTCTTTTTTTTTTGTTTTTCTTAAATCAGAGAGAAATAAAATGTATTGTTTGTGTTTCTGCTGAGTTTCTGACAAGAAAAGAGAAATAAATGTGTTTGAGAAAATTCAATGAGTTAACATAACATTTACAACAATAAAAAAATAAATGAGAAAATCGGGAGAATATTATTGTGTAATATAAAATTTAATTGAATAAATTAATAAACATATTTACACAATATAACAGTATATACGGTATTGATAAATTAACATGATTTTTATTAAAATATATACAGATTACTAACATAATATTATATAGGGGGGAATATTAAAAACGATTTCTGATGAGTAAATGAGTATACAGAATTGATACAAAGCAGACAGAACAGAAGAGTAAAAAAAATTTTTCTTTTCTAATTTACTCAATAAATTTTATATTTTGTTGTTGCTCTTACTTTAGTTTTTTTTTCCATAATAATTTTTCGTGTTTTCTTTTTTTTTACTTATTCTTTTCCTTTTCTTTCTTTATTCCTATATACTCAGTACTGTAGTCTGTTTCTGTACTACTACTGTATGCTTAATATTCGTTGAAATAAAATGAATTTCATTCGCTTTCGATCAATGAGCGTGTTAAGTTGTTTTTTAATTTTACTGATTTAAGTTATTAAAAGAGAGAAGCAAAAAAAAAAAAAAAACAACACGAAATTTTAAATATTACATGAAAAAGTTTTAAAATAAAAAAATTTGATTACAAAAGAAAAAATATTTTATTATAAATTTATTTTTCCTTTAATTAATTAAAAATTTGCTCGGCTTTTTAGCGGTTTTTTGTAAAAAAAAAAAGTGTATAATATTAAAAATTCTTATATAGAACACTTATTGAGTGAAAATTTTTTTCAATTTTAATTGTGTTATACACCAAATTGATTTCATAATAATATAGAAAGAAAAATTTTTTTTTTATTGCAAAACTATTGAAAGTTAAATAATAATTTTTTGAAATATAAAGGGAAAAAACAAATCTTTAATTAAAATTAAAAGAAAATTAAAGTAAAGAAGAACATCAATGTTTTTAGAAACAAAAACAAATTTTATATGGTAAATATATTTGAAAGAGTGAAAAAATTTGATTTTTTTTTTCTTATTGTGAATATTGTGTTACGACATCAAAAACACGTTCTTTTCTGGATCCTCTGAATGAGAACGTACAATATAAGATTGTGTAACAGTTTTTTACCTTAAAAGTTTTTTTTCTCATTTTTTTTTTTTTTTTTTGGTTTTTATATTTCGTTCATTGTGTGTATTCTACTCATTCTCATTTTTAAAATAATTTCGATATTGGAATAAATGAAAAAAATTTTTTTTTTTTGAAATTTTAAATTAAAAAAAAAAAATTAATAATTTAGTAAAAATTAATTTATGAAAAAAAAAAAAATTAGTGAGATATTAAAAGAATTAAATAATTTTTTTTTTCTGTGTAATTAAATAAGAAACAAAAACAACACATAACGAAAAAACAAAAAAAAAAAAAGAAAAACAAAAATTCAATTTTTTTTCTTCTTTTCGCCTTTTCCAACATTGTATTGTAGCATATTGCGCGCATATTACATAAGCCTGTTATGTATTTAAATGGGCGATGTTATGTTATGTGAGTAATTTAATCTAAAAAGAAGAATTTTATAAATATTATTCAAACATAATAATTATTTAAATTTTAATAAAACTAGTAATTTTATTTACAAAAAAAAAAATAAAATCGCAAAATTTTAAATAAAAAATTAAAATTTAAAATTAATAATATTATAAAACAGAAAAAAAAAAGTTTATAACTATTAATATGTATGTATGTATGTGTATGTATGTGTACTTAGGTACAATTAATATACAGTATAAATTGTATAAATCTTATAATTCACTCATACTACATACATATATATATATATTTAAATAGAATATTAAATATATACTTACATACATAAGTATATAGTGAAAGTATTATACAAGAATAAAAAAGCAAAAGAAAAATAAGAAGAAAAAGAACAAGAAAAATAAAAAAAAAATTATTAAGTAATAATTTTTCTAAGAATTAAGTAATCGTTTTATATATTATCATATTATATATACATACATACATTATATACATAAGTGAAGGTACATAATGTACATATATATTAAGTAAATGAATGTATTTTAATATTAATATAAATTAATAATGATATTAGCAAAATAATATACATATACATATTATAAACTAATATAGAAAAAAAAAAATGTTTTTTTAAATTTTTTTTCCATTTTTTTTTTTTATTATTGTTATACTTGTAAAAAAGGAAAATATTTTTAATTTTTTTCTTTTTTGTGCAAAATATAAAATATACTACTTATGAAGTACCTACCTACCTATTTAGATGTTATATAAAAAGTTATTCAATATTTTATTATAAACAAACTTTTACATGTGGATGTGTTGCATAATATACTGGTATACTTACCTATATAATATTGGAAAAAATTAAGAAATTTTTTGGTGATTTTTATTTAAATTGTAAAAAAGTTGTTGGTTCTAAATTTTGTTCTAAATTTTTTATTTAATTTTTTTTTTTTTGTTATATTGTTATACATATTTATTTTCTATTGAAAAAAACATGAATCAAATTATATTATTAAATTACTCTGAATCACAAAATAAATTTGTGTGACAAAGAAAAAAAAATGTGTTATTTTGAATAAGAATATTGATGATGATAAATTTATTATATCCTAAACTGTTATACATACATATATAGTGTATACATTAGTATTTATAACTTTGAAATCTTTACTTTGAAAAATTAAAATATAAATTAAATATTTAGTGAATAATACAAAAAAAAAGATATAAGTAATATACATATGTACGTACATAATAAGTATATTATTTAATTTAGAAAAAAAAAAAACAAAAAAAAAAAAATCATAATGAATGAATCATAAAAAAAAACCAACAAAAAATATCACGAGTTCAATAAGTGAAGAGTGGGCTTTAATAAAAATATTGTTTTTATTATAATTTTTGTGTGTATATGTGTATATACGTTATATTTTTGACATCTGTTTATAATATCACTATATTTTTTCTTTTTATAGAATTCAAACAAAATTAAATAAAAGTTATAATTTATTATATACAAATATATTATTATTTAATAGTTTAAAAAAATGTATAATATTAATAACAACATACATATATAGGTACTAACATACCTACCTTATTATTTAAAAACTATAATAATTATACTTACTATCACATTTTCTTGTGTACGTACATTTGTATGTACATGCATACAAACATCAGAAAAGCAAAAAAATTAAAACAAAATGAAATAAAAGAAATTTAAGATATAAACAATATTTTTGCGTATAAAATAAACAAATATAATTTTCTATATATATTTACCTACATATTTACATATTCACTATTTTATAACGTTTTGTATATTATCTATAATAACTATAGCTACATACATTATACGTATACATAAATATAAAAAAATTGTTTACAAAATTTTTTATTTTGTTTTCGATTTTTTATTTTATTTTTCTGTTTTGTGATTTTTTAACATTTTATTCAAAATTCTAATGTCTGTTCAGTTTTGCTCACTTTTAATTTATCGTTAAATCACATACATACATGTACTTATAGCATTGCACCGCTTACATTCACATACTATTAAGTAAATATTAATCAATTTGGTGCAAAAAAAATAATCATTGCTTTTAATTTTGTGCTCATTAATATTGTTTAAATTTAAAATTTAATATTTATTTCTAAACTATTTTGTTATTTTTATAATATTGATTTAAATTCCAGTGCAAATTAATATTTATGTCCACTTATAGTTAATTTTATTAAAATCAATACGTTAATAAATAAAATATTAAGATTTTACGATTTTATAAGATTAATAGGTAGGTACCCACTTGCCAAAAAAAATAACTATTTTATAATTGATAATCTAATAAATTTATCATCGTTTAATAATCAAAATCAACAAATTCTTATTATTATTAAAAACAAGAAAAACTTCAAATACATTATTATGTATAAATAAGCACATAATGTATGTATAGAAGTATTAATAAATAAAAACAACCAGAACCAGAACAAAGCTATAGAACAAGAATATAATTCATAACAATATAAAACTACAACAAAAATATATTATAGAAAAACGATATACCGTTAATGTTATGTAAACAAAAAAGATGGTAGAAAAATAATAACAAAACGACAAAATAAAAATTTGTTTTATTTTTGTTTTTACTTATTTTCTGTTTTTATTGTTTTTAACAAAGAAATTTTGAATAAAAAATATTGAATTTTTCAAAAAAAAAAAAAAAAACAAAGAGACAAGAGACACGATTACGTACACATACATGCAAAATGCAAAGTGAGTGAACAAGTATAAAAATTTTGTCATAATTATATAAAAATTCTGAATGTATTTATTTTACAGTTATAAAAGAGTATTTGTTTTTCTATTCAAATTTTGAGTTTTTATAAAAAATAATAATAAAATTAATATTTTAATATTAATACCGTTATCGTATTAAAGAAGTGACAAAAGAACAAAAATTAAAATCAATGAATAATTTTTTTTTTACTTATAATGTGTATGTGGGTATATTTGCATATGTATATGTATATGCTCATAAATGGCAATGTGTGATTGTCAAATAAATAACGGTTTTTCTTGTTTTCATATTATAAGTATTGTGTTGTCTTTTATAACTTCATAAAAAAAAAAATTGCAGCAGACATTAATAAACTCGAACACCCTCTATTTCCGTACTTACATAAATACTAGTTACTAAATAGTAAACAGACGAAATGTACGCAATTTTTTCAAAATAAACACAAAAAAAAATGTGATTTCCGATTAGATAGGTAACTTGTTTTTTTTTTTTTGGTTGTCTTTTAAAAAAAAAATTATAATAATATAAGCGTGTATAAATACATATACTTATATTTATTACTATTAGAAAGAGAAAGAAATAGTATGAGAATTTTATTAAAATTATAAAAATAAAATAATTAAGGTAAAAAATTATTGCACAATATTTTTTATTTAATTCTAATATTAATTAATTAAAATATTAGTTATACCTATAAAATTTATATGCCTACATAACTTTTACCTACATATTAAAATAATTTATGCCTACTATTTAATAAACTTACTTTATTATTAAAATGACTAATTTTTAAAATTTTAAGTTTTTACATAACATCTAAAATTTTTAATTCATACACTTTGGAAAATACTGTGTTATACCTCTAATTTTATGCCATTAAGTTCATATTGTATATATAATAATAACAGTTATAGTTATTATATGTAATTATGGAAGACAAAATATTTTACATAACTGTACTTACTTACTTGTGCTTACATACACATAATAGTTTTTATAATGCATTGACCTTCCTATAATATGGATATATTGTTTACTCATGTAAACACATTATGTACAAATAAATATCTAATTTTAATATAGTACGAAACAAATATGAATAAATTTCTTTATTAAGATAGTGCAGTTAATTTACTTATAAAAAAATGTTTTATTTCTTTTTAAAATATAAAATAGTAAATGTAAAATAAGAACTTTTAAATAAATACCATAAAATTAAATAAAAAAAATATTATAACAATAAAAGAAACAAAACTTAGTGGTGAATAAAATTTAGTGGTGAATAACACTTAGTGGTGAATAAAATTTAGAGGTTAAAATTTTCAATTACTTATATAATAAGTATAGTCGGGAATTTTAATTACATTTATAATGCTTTTACTAAATATACTTACAATTGTTAATATTGATCCCAACACTAAGTGTAACTAGTACATTAAAATACTTAAATATTTTTTATACAACTGAAATAAGTGTTCATTGAAATTAAAAATTTTATTACTTGTATATATATATATATATATATATATATATATTATATTATATATTATATATATATATATATATATATATATATACATAAGTAACTTAACAAATTAATTTTTTTATTGAATTTTTACTGAAAGAAAGTGGTATATATAAATAAATTATATACATAGTAAATACATAGTAAATTTATACTATGTATTTACTATGTATATAAACATATACATAGTAAAACATATACATAGTAAAACATATACATAGTAAATTTCTTTAAATTCATTCAATGTTAATTTATATATATAATTTACATATATATAATTGAATGTCCTAAATTATTTTAATGAAATTTGAATTTATAATATTCAAAAAAATTTATTCAAGTGTATCAATAATATATTAATTTTTTTACAATAATTTTTTACAATTTTTTTTAGATTTCACAAAAAAGCAAACAAACATTAAGTTTAAAATAAATAAATAAGTTTAAAAAAGAAAAACAAACACACAAATTAAAAATAAACACAGTAATGAAAAATGTCAAAATTAGCAAAAGATGCATTTTTAAGTCGCAACTACCATCTAGCGGTAGAATTATTTGAACGTTGTATACGTGAAAAAACACAAAAAAATCAATGTGTACCATATGATTTATACTTTGGTTATGGTGATTCACTTGCTCGATCTGGCCAATTACAAAATGCTATAGATGTTTATACATATTTAGCATATAAACTGGATGGTGTTATACCATGGGAACGTTTAAAACATTTATCATCTTGTATTTTAAATAATTTTATTGCATTAAATTCAAATAATAGCTATTATCAAGTTCAAAATAATATTTTAAATTCAACAACAACAACAACAACAGCAACATTAGGAAAAAGTTCTTTATCTGGATTATCATATGGCACAAAAATTACATCATCATCATCACCATCATCATCATCACTGTCATCAACAGTATCAACAATAAATTATGATTCATCATCAATAACAGCAATATCAAATTTAAGAAAATCTTCATCTACTACTGCAACAACAACTACCACTACTACAACAACAGCAAATGTTGCCTCGCATAAAAATCAAATATTAAATTTAACAATGTCATCATCATTATTAGCCAAAAATTGTAATAATGATAATAATTTTAAAGGTAATAATTTAAAACGTAAAAGAACACGTTCAACATTACCAATTAAAATACAAAAAACATCGTTATCATCATCATTATCGTCATCGTCCCCAAAATTAGTACCAGCAAAAACAGCATCAACATCGATGATATCTTCAACAGTTACAAGTAATATAAATAATTATGATAATAATTTTAATACAAATACAATAAATTTAACAAATTCAAGATTATCTCATATTAACAACAATATTACAAAAATTAATTTACCTTTATATAATAAAAATAAAGAAATTATAATAAATAATAATGATAGTGATGCCATTAATGTAAATAATAATAATTATCAACAACAAAATGAACAAAGAACAAATCATCGTAGGGATATTAAAATTTTAAAACAACAATATAATTATAAAAATAATAATTATAATATAACAACTATTGATCCTTTATTATGTGGTATTTGTGAAGATATATTAAGGTGTCCTGTAACAGCCTCATGTGGCCATACATTCTGTCGCGAATGTTGTTATTCAATGAATTCATCTAATACTAACAATAGTAATAATAATAATAATAGTAGTAATTATAATAGTAATAATAATAATAATAATATTAATGGTGAATTATATGAGTGTCATTTGTGTCAACAACAAAAACGTCAACAATCTAAAGTTATGAATCAATTACAAAATTATACAAATTATAATAATAATGAAAACGCAAATAATATTAATAATAATAATAATAATAGTAATACAACAATATTATCACCAAATTTAAAACCAGATATATTAGTACGTAGATTAGTTGATAAATATTGGAGTGCCGAATTACAAGCAAGAGAATTAAATGAGCAAGCTATGCATTTTATGGATATACAATCATTAGATGAAGCATTAAGATTATGTAATCAAAGTTTAGAAAAATGTAAGTAAAAATTGTTTATTTTTAATACTTATAATATTACAAAAATTTTAAATTATATTTTTTTTCCTTAAAAATTAAATAATTAATTGTTTTAACAAGTGATTCGAGTAGAGCGATTATTAAAAATTGAGCGTGTAATAGCTACTTGCTGTTGTCAAATTATGATTATTTCTCATAAACTATAATAAGTTGTTTGATAACAAAATCAGGTTTAAAAGCCTGTTCATCGTACGTCCGTCACTAATAATTAATTTCTTAAAAATGCTCTAATTTCTTAAATATTACCAGCCTAAAATTCTTTGAATTAAAATAAATTTTTCTTATAGAACCTTTATTTAAAATTATGTACTTAAAAATCACAAATATGAGAATTTCAGAAAATTTCAATAGCTTCTTGAGTACATTTAGGGAACGATGGAATACGTTCTTTTTAATTTATTAGTCAATCAAACCTCTTGTTCATTAACTTCCGTTTCACGGTTTTTGAAAACTTGTTCAACAAAAACTTGTTGTTCATATTATTAATTTTAAATACTTATTTAATTTGTAAAAAGAAGCAAGAATAAATAAATATAATATGTATATTAGTTAATCACTAAGTATATTTCATTATTCTTTTACTAAATATAATATGTTTTTAGTAGAATTGACGCAATATTAGTAACTAGTCAAATATAAAAATTTAAAAGAAAATTTATTGTTGTGTAATATCCTGTAAAGGTATAACAATAATCTATATAACAATTTATGATGCAATATCTAAATATAACATAATATCCATAGTACACAAATATAGTATGTACTTATTATGTATCATAACAATCATAACGTATAACATTACATAAGATTTTTTTTTTTTTTCAAATTGTAAACAAATTAAAATAATCTATATAACAATAAAGAAATTACTTATTTCTGTTTTAAGATATGACATTGCAATTCAATGGAACTAATCTTAGATAAACTTATATACATAAAGTATACATATAATTAATATGTACACACATATTATATTATAAGTATTTGTACGTTTTTCTTTTTGTTATCCTATCCCATTTATAAAATGGTGATTTTAATAAGGGTGAAATATCGATTTATTAATGTTATTTATGTAAGCGTGTTTAGTTTAATTTTGCAATAAATCTAAATATAAAAAATTTTTTATTTTAAACTCATTTTAAATTTTTTTATAATAAACACAAAATATAAAAAAAATTGAAAATGTCCTTTTGTATAATAATAACTTAATTTTGTTTATCGATATTGAAATATTCTTTCTCCTCTTCTTATAAATAAAATAAGTAGTTTTCTTTCTTACTAAAGGACAAAGTAAATGAGAATATTTATAACAATTTATCTTGCTGTAATCAAGTACAAATAATCACAGTTATTGGAAATAGAGGAGGAGAAACAAACAGTAAATACTTATGCAATTAAAAATAAAATAATGCTCAACCCAACTCATAGTTTGCAAAGATAGCACATATTTTCCTTTCAAAACTTTTGATTTTAAGATCTCAGTAATTTAAACCATATGTACTTACATAAATAAACAAATTTTCTTATTATTAAACAATTTTGCATAAATTTAGGAGAAATTTTACGATAAAAACCCAAAACTTTATGGAAGTATAAAACCTGAATTTTAAAGCTTTAAAGAGGACGATCAGCGAATAGATTTTATAGTTTCAAAGAAATAGGGGATTAAAAATTGATTTTTCAATTGACAATTAAATATTGACTACTAATATTTATTAAACTGCTAAAGTTTGAAACACGTTCGAATTGTAGTGTAGAATTATCGAAAAACTATTTAGGGTATAACGGTTAGTTTCAAGGATCATTCAGCTATATTTCCTCATAGTTTTCATGATAGAAAACAATGTAGTGCGATCCCTGATCTTTAAATGTTAACAATATTTACGAATTGCTTTCTGTTAAAAGTTCTTTAAAAGTTTATACACAAACTGTTATACTATTTAAATAAAACTGTTATACGCTTAAAATAAAACTGTTATACTCTTTAAATATTGAAATTAATACTATTATTATTTATAAATATTGAAATATTAAATTTTGAAATTTACGAAGGGGAGGAAAGGGTATGAATATTGCATAAATCATACAAATTCTATTTTTATAAGAGACTTTTTTGAATTTTTTTTTTCAAAAATCAACGTTGAAATGACGTATAACTTAAATTTACTTGGAATCTTGAAGTTCTGTGGCTGTTTTTTTGCCACAATAGTTTAATAAAGAGAAATAGGGAGATAGAGTGCGATAAATCTAGTAACATATATACACTTATTACAATATTCACCATATGGTTTCAAAATTCATATGGCAAGAAATATGTGTGTTTGTACATAAGTTTATCAGTATTTAATAAATTTAATTATATCATTAATTCTTAATAAATTATATTATATTTGTATAAAATAATATATTAAAAATTTTAATTAAAATAAAAAAATTTTATGAGTAATTTTATAATTCAAAATAAATTTATTTTATTTTTTATTTAAAATGTACATGAAAAAAGTGTGGGCATTGTTCTTTCTCTATAAAGAAACTATAATATTTCATTAATATTTTTTTGCCAAAATATTACAATAACATTATACAAATATGTATGTATATCTAATTGTATAAATATTTTTATTTATTACAATACACCTATAATATTCTTGCTTATAACAAAGAACATATTTTGAAAATGTTTTATATTAAATTATGCAAGGATATTAAATTATAATTGCGACTATTGATTAAAATACCTACATATTTGTTTTTTTATAACGTTATAAATAAAGAAAAAAATTTTTGAAAATAAAATTTTTTTGTTTACAATTTTTTACCTATATGAGTTTCTAATTTTCCGGTTTTAATAATTTAAAATGATTCATTTCCCTAAAACAATGCGTAAAAAAATTTTTATAGTTACCTAACTATTACCAATTACACTATACAATAAAAAAAGGATATTAAAAAAGCATATTCTATGTTTTTCTAATTACAAAGAGACAATTCATGCCCTTGACATAAAATCCAGAAAGCAAAATAAAACAAATAAATCAAGGTACCCTATATCGAATATTTCAAATAAAAAAATATTATGTAAATATAGAAAATTAAAAGTTTTAAAATTCAAATTAAATTTAAACAAACTTTAACATTAATAATGTTTACATATTTACATATATATGTACATATGTATACAAAACCCTTAAATATTACATTTTTCGAAGAATATTAAAAGAATGTGACGTAGGCTGAAGAAAATGATTGGTAAAACGATTGAATTTAATTGAATAGTCTGTTAAAACTGGAAATTTCAGGTATTTACTAAAGTAGTCTGTAATAATGGAAAACGGATATGATTGTGATACTTCTGGATTCAAAAGCCAATTAACAGCAATGTAAGCCTATGTAATTTGAAACCTATTTTGGAAATCTGGTGTAAAAGTAAATCATCGGAAGTACAACCAACTAACTATACATAAAGTATTGCCAATAACTATAAAAATATTTCAAACTTGCAATCTTTGCTCAATTCTGTACATACATTATGTCAACTTTTCTAGTTACAGGCTACAGAACAATTTGTATTTGCTTTGAGAATTTATTGAAATAAGCTACAAACTTTAATTTCTTGCCTAATTGCAAGAATGTAGAGTTCATATTCAAAGTAGCATAATATCAATAATTAAATATGAAATTAATGTAATATTTTTGCATTATCACTACTAAGTTACATTAAATATGTATATATAAGTATCTAAATAGCGTTATAGTTGAACTGTGAAACCGAAGTATTTACAACATTAAGAATTTATTATTCGATATAAATTATTACAGCTATGAAATGCTGTGAAAGTTATTTTCATTTTTCATTTCAAAATCCAAAAATTATGATTGTGTTAAATATAAACCAAGTGCCCTACATAAACTCAAATTACTTACTTATTCTTGTAGTTTTTTTTTTAATTATTTTAGATTCTTAGAACATTCTAGTTATATCACTGGTATAAATTTGTCGCCACTCTATAATATTATGTTAATTGCATAATTATATTTATTATTTTTAATCGCACCACATAAATTTTTTCAATTATGTTTTCATACATATACTTTGTTTTATGTCATATGTTTTCATACAAAGTAATTATTAATTCGTATATTTGTATGTATGTACATCGCTTTGAAATGCATTAAAATGCAAAATTAAAAGTCTGGGAGTAGCAAAAAAATTAAAGAAAAAAAAAATTTTAAAAATTTATTTTTATTATAGAACCTATTTGTTTCCAATTACATATTCGCGCTCATACAAACTTTTTGTTCGAAATATACAAAATATACTTATGTGCTGGTATATAAGACTATACATTTATTTATGTAAAATATAGAAGATTTTTCATTGTTTCATTGTTGTTTACCTACTCGCATTACCTCAGCATATTATAATAGAATTTTTAGGTAAACATTGTTCTTAATTATACACGCTTTATTTTTTTTTTTACTTAATACTTGTAGTTAAAAAAAAGTGCAACTTTGTTTTTAAAATTTATTTGATTTGAAAAGAATGAAATTTGGTTAAAATTAAAATGCAGAAATTCTTTAAAATTATACATTTATAAAAATTTATTTTTTACACCACTTAGTGAATTAATTCAGCACCTATAATAATAATAATAACTGTACGTTGATGGTATTAAAAAATCTCTGAAGGCAATAAGAATTTTCTATAATTTCTATATGCATATATATATAGCAATATTAAATTTCGTTACAACATTCTGCAGCTATTTAGAGCAGACAATGGGAATATTAATTCGATGTAAATCTTAATTGCTTCATTGGCGAACTTGTTCATTAAAGAATTAAATTAATTAAATTATAAATTTTATTAAGAGATTCACAACTTAGTATCTAACATCTAATATCTAGTATCCAATACCCATGATCAAAATTTTCTAATATTGAATATTTGGGAGTTTACA